TTGCAGAATGATGATCGTTAAGAATCTTAACGATCATATTTCAGAAATTGCAGAATGATGATCGTTAAGATTCTTAACAAACATATTTCAGAAATTAATAAATTATAATCGTTAAGAATCTTAACTAACATAATTCAGAAATTGATAAATTATAATCATTAAGAATCTTAATGATCATCATTCTGCAATTGCTAAATTATGATCATTAAGAATCTTAATGAACATATTTCAGAAATTGATAAATTATAATCGTTAAGAATCTTAATGAACATAATTCAGAAATTGCAAATTATGATCGCTAAGATTCTTATCGATCATAATTTAGCAATTGCAGAATGATAATCATTAAGAATCTTAACGATCATATTTCAGAAATTGCAGAATAATGATCATTAAGAATCTTAATGATCATTATTCTGCAATTGCTAAATTATGATCATTAAAAATCTTAATGATCATAATTCGCAATTTCTGAATTATGTTCATTAAGATTTTTAACGATTATAATTTATCAATTTCTGAAATATGTTCGTTAAGATTCTTAATGATCATAATTTAGCAATTGCAGAATGATAATCATTAAGATTCATAATAATCATAATTCTGCAATTATAGAATTATGATCGTTAAGATTCTTAATGATTATAATTCAGAATTCAGTAATTGCAGAATTATGATCATTAAGATTCTTAACAATCATAATTCTGCAATTATAGAATTATGATCGTTAAGAATCATAATTCAGTAATTACTGAATTCTGAATTATGATCGTTAAGATTCTTAATGATTATATTTCAGAAATTGCAGAATTATTATCGGTAAAATTATTAAGAATTGATAAAGTTTGAGAATAATAAATTTTATAATTGAATATCTATAAATACTGTATTAATATAATTTTGATTTTTAGTTCAAATTACAAATTATTATATATTTTTATTATTTAGTGTTCTTTTGGAAATTTATCAGGTTTTTCCAAAATAAAATAAAAATTATCTATTTTAAAAAATCCTACGCATTTTTTTATACAGATGCTGAAATCCATTCATGCACTCCAAATTTCGAAAATGTTTTTAAATCATATAAACCATGCTTAACATCATGTGCATGTTCTACATAAGCAAGCATATATTTTTGTCCAGAATATTCATGAACAAAATAAAACAAAACTCTGCCATAATGAATCTCTAAAGCAGCTTGTTTACCAGATTGTTTAACTAAAATCTCATACTAAGAAATATAAGACATAAGACATAAATATTTTATAAAATTAAATTAAATTAATTATATTATCTTCTACTTTGTACTTACTCTAATACATAAATTATCACGATGAGTCTCATTAGTTTTAGTTAAAACAGAGCCAATCATATATCCACCAGAAGTTCTTAGTCTTGCAAATTTTGTTCCTATATTATTTACCTAAAATCAAAAGCTTAAATTATTATTAATATAAATATTAATATAAATAATACTTTATTACCTCTTTTAAAGGACTATTTATATTTGAAGTATAAAAATTGCTCAAATTAGTTAATGGCTGATCTTTTCCTGAAATATTAACAAGTTTGTGTTGACAACTTGGAAACCAAAATTCTTCAGGGCTATCAGTTAATGCAAATACTTGGTTATCTGCATAAATTGGAGTTATTTCTTGTGGAAAAATTTGTTCTCGTAATGATGATATAAAATATAAATGATTAAACTGATCTAATATCAAAATATTATTAGCAAGATTCTCATAAGGAAAGATATGAGATTGAATCAATGTTTGTAATATTCCACATAATCTTTCCATAGGGAATTGCAAAAATGTCCAGCATGGACCACAATCTATAATTGAATCTTTAATATGAAGTAAATAATGAAATACAATTTTAAATGCAGATAACCGGCTTTCTTCATATTTGCCATAATATCTTAAAATAAAAAATAAAAAATTAATACAATCGTATATTGATATTATAAATTTAAAATTATATATTATATATACTTTTCATAATGATTCCAAAATTCAATAAAGTATTCTTCAATACATTCTATTTCTTCTATAGTAATAATACGTTGAACACAAAGCTTTGTTGAAAGTATATATACTGCCCAACCTCTAAGCAAACTATAATAATAATAAAAAATAAAATATAACAAAATTATAAAAGATTATTATATTATATATATAATTATAATAAATATAGTTATAATAATTAGTTAAAAATTTTTATTATTACTAATTTGCAAGTTGATCATATTTAGCAAATCATATTTTAAATTATGATTAATAACAAATTACTTAATTATGTAAATCCTAATAAACATAATTTAGCAATTGCTAAATTAATTGTTAATTAATTGTTAAGAATCTTAATGATCATAATTTAACAATTAGAATCTTAATGATTATAATTCGCAATTGCTGAATTATGATCATTAAGGTTCTTAACAATTAATTTAGCAATTTCTAAATTGTGATCATTAAGAATCTTATCAGCAATTGTAAAATTAATCGTTAAGAATCTTAATGATTATAATTTAGAAATTGCTAAATTAAACATTAAGAATCTTAACAATCATATTTCAGAAATTGCTATATTAATCGTTAAGATTCTTTAATCATAATTCTGCAATTATAGAATTAATGGATAAGATTCTTAATGATTATAATTCAGCAATTTTAGAATTAATTATTAAGAATCTTAACAATAATAATTCTGCAATTGCTGAATTATTAATAATTTAGCAATTGCAGAATTATGATCATTAAGATTCTTAACAATCATAATTTAGCAATTATAAAATTATGATCGTTAAGATTTTTAATTGTTAAGTTTTTAACGATTAATTTAGCAATTTCTAAATTATGATCATTAAGATTTTTAACAATTAATTTAACAATTTCTAAAATATAATCATTAAGATTCTTAATGATTAATTTAGCAATTTATAAAATAAAGATTCTTAACAATTAATTTAGCAATTTCTGAAATAAGATTCTTAACAATTAATTTAGCAATTTAAAATTGTTAAATTAATTGTTAAGATTCTTAATGATCATAATTCTGCAATTATAGAATTATGATCATTAAGAATCTTAACGATTAATTCTATAATTGCAGAATTATAATTGTTAAGAATCTTAACAAATAATATAGCAATTTCTGAAATATAATCGTTAAGATTCTTAACGATCAATTATAGAATTATGTTTATTAAGAATTTTAATAATCATAATTCTATAATTGCTAAATTAAAATTGTTAAGAATCTTAACAATCATATTTTAGAAATTACTATATTATTGCGCTTTGCAAAAAGATGTGAACACTGTAGATCATTTTTTTATATGAGAATCGGTGATTTTATAGATTTTTTGAAATTTAAGAATTAAACTGATTTCAAAGAAATATAAACATAACTCAATCGAAAATATAAAGTAACAGACAATCTGGAATCTCACATGTTCACATATTTTTGCAAAGCACTATAATCGTTAAGATTCTTAACAATCATAATTCTGCAATTATAGAATTAATCGTTAAGATTCTTAATGATTAATATAGCAATTTCTGAAATATGATTATTAAAATTCTTAACAATTATAATTCTGCAATTATAGAATTATGATCGTTAAGAATCTTAAAGATTATAATTCAGCAATTGCTGAATTATAATCGTTAAGATTCTTAACAATATAATTCAGCAATTGCTGAATTATGATCTTTAAGATTCTTAACGATTAATTTTAAAATTGCTTAATTATGATCGTTAAGATTTTTAATAATTAATTTAACAATTTCTGAAATATAATCTTAACGATTAATTTAGCAATCTCTAAATTATGATTGTTAAGATTTTTAACAATTAATTTACCAATTTCTGAAATATAATCGTTAAGATTCTTAACAATTAATTTAGCAATTTCTGAAATAAGAATCTTAATAAATAATTTAGCAATTTCTGTAATAAGATTCTTAACAATTAATTTAGCAATTTAAAAATTGCTAAATTAATTGTTAAGAATCTTATTTCAGAAATTGATAAATTAATCATTAAGAATCTTAATGATCATAATTCTGCAATTATAGAATTATGATAGTTAAGAATCTTATCAATCATAATTTAAAAATTGCTAAATTAACTGTTAAGAATCTTAATGATCATATTTCAGAAATTGCTAAATTATGGCGGTTTGCAAAAAGGTGTGACCCTGTGATTTCGTGATGATGATTGCAGAAAAATTTCCGAGATTTTAATTCCCTATCGATCATAATTTTCGATCAATAACGTTTATATGTTATTCGGAATCTTTAAAATTCTTTAAGAATCGAAAAATCTACTAGAATCGGCTGATTTATCGTGATTTTATATGACATTATGATCTGCAGTGGTCACACCTTTTTGCAAACCGCTATAATCGTTAAGAATCTTAATGATTATATTTAAGAAATTGTCGTTAAGAATTTTAGCGATCATAATTCTATAATTACTGAATTATAGTTGTTAAGATTCTTAATGATTATATTTTAGCAATTGCTAAATTATGATAGTTAAAAGATTCTTAACGATTATAATCCCGCAATTACTAAATTATGATCGTTAAGATTCTTAACAATCATAATTCTATAATTGCAGAATTATAATTATTAAGATTCTTAACGATCATAATTCTATAATTGCAGAATTATAATCGTTAAGAATCTTAACGATTATATTTTAGAAATTGTTATATTAGTCATTAAGATTCTTAATGATCATAATTCTGCAATTATAAAATTAATCATTAAGATTCTTAATGATCATTATTCAGCAATTTTAGAATTATAACGCTTTGCAAAAAGATGTGACCCCATGATTTTTGTGATGATGAAAGGGGAAAATTTCCGAGATTTTAAATTGTCTATTAATTCATATTTTCGATCAGGTATATTTATATTTATTTGAAATCGATAAGATTTTTAAAATTTACAGAATCTCTGATTTTCACACAACATTGTGATCTGCAGAGGTCACATCTTTTTGCAAAGCGCAATAATCATTAAAAATCTTAATTATTATAATTTTGCAATTATAAAATTATGATCGTTAAGAATCTTAACGATCATAATTCAGCAATTATAGAATTATCATTGTTAAGAATTTTAACAATCATAATTCAGCTAAGAATCTTAACAATCATAATTTAGAAATTGTTAATTATGATTATTAAGATTCTTAATGATCATAATTTTGCAATTATAGAATTATGATCGTTAAGAATCTTAACGATCATAATTCTATAATTGCTAAATTAATCGTTAAGAATCTTAATGATTATATTTCAGCAATTGCAGAATTATGATCATAACGATCATAATTCTGCAATTTCTGAAATATGATCATTAAGAATCTTAAGATCATATTTCAGAAATTATAGAATTATGATTGTTTAAAATTCTTAATGATCATAATTCAGAAATTGCAGAATTATAATCGTTAAGTTTCTTAACGATCATAATTCAGCTATTTCTAAATTATAATAATTCAGCAATTATAGAATTATGATCGTTAAAAATCTTAACAATTATATTTTAGAAATTGCTAATTATGATCGTTAAGAATCTTAATGATTATATTTTTGTAATTATAGAATTATGATCGTTAAGAATCATAATGATCATAATTCTATAATTGCTAAATTATAATCATTAAGATTCTTAACGATCATAATTAGCAATTTCTAAAATATAATTGTTAAGATTCTTAACGATCATAATTCTATAATTACTGAATTATGATCGTTAAGATTCTTAACGATCATAATTCTATAATTGCTGAATTATGATTGTTAAGATTCTTAACAATTATAATTTAGAAATAGCTGAATTATAATCGTTAAGAATCTTAACAACCATAATTCTGCAATTTCTAAATTATGATCATTAAGAATCTTAAACGATCATAATTCTATAATTGCAAAATTATGATCATTAAGAATCTTAACAATCATAATTAGCAATTTCTGAAATATGATCATTAAGGTTCTTAACAATCATATTTTAGAAATTGCAGAATTATGATCGTTAAGATTCTTAACGATTATAGTTCTATAATTGCAGAATTATGATCGTTAAGAATCTTAATGATCATAATTCTATAATTGCAGAATTATGATCGTTAAGAATCTTAATGATCATAATTCTATAATTGAAGAATTATAATCGTTAAGAATCTTAACAATCATATTTCAGAAATTGCAGAATTATGATCGTTAAGAATCTTAACGATCATAATTCTATAATTGCAGAATTATGAT